CAGGTCTCTAATAATGGTTGAGTAACTTGAAATATTTAGATCCCAGATTACTTTGGCTGCCTTGTGGAGATTACATATACATATACATATACATATAATATACATATACATATACATATACATATACATATACATATACATATACATATACACATATACATACACATACACACATATACACATATACACACACACACACATATATATATAAAAGTGAAGCCCGGCCTGCATGGCTCAGCAGTTGAGTATCAACCTATGATCCAGGAAATCAAGGTTCAATTCCCGGTCAGGGCACATGCCCAGGTTGTGGGCTTGATCCCAAGTGGGGGCGTGCAGGAGGCAGCCAATCAATGGATCAATGACTCTCTCATCATTGATGTTTCTATCTCTCTTTCTCCCTCTCACTTCCTCTCTCTGAAACCAATAAAGACATATTTTTTAAAAAGTGAGACTTACTTCTATAGGACAGAACACATCATTAAATGTTAGAACATTTTTGCCAACATTCCCTCAGTCTACCATGCAGAACATTCAGACTGTCAATTATTAAACTTACTCTGAGCAAAGAACAGCATTGTTATTGGTATATCAATAACAATAGCAGACAATGAATAGTATCATTGGTCACACGTCCTGGGAAACACTCTGAGATGGAGATTTGCTTGCACGAAGTTCATTGGGGCGTACTCCTGGGCACGCCTGTAAGGGACTGAGAGAAGCAGGAGATGGTAGAGGAGCATTGAACTGTGATGCATTTGTAAGAGACCTCTGCCAATCCCACAGGAAGCTCTGAAGCTGGGATGGTCCTTCAAAAATGTTTCAAATTTAGGCAAGGGAACTGGGCCTGTATATACATCATCACATACTCTTTAGGTGCAAGCTGACTCTGGCATGACTTAGGGAGAGGCAGCTTCCTTCAGTCCTTGGAGGGCAATACTTAGGAAGGAACTCAGCTGTGAGCCATCAGCCAGCAACACTCCTGGTAGCTGGAGGAGTGAGCATCCTGGGCCTAAAGGGAGGGTCACAGCAGTGTGTCACAACAGCCACTACAACTGGCTTCTTTACGAAGGTTGCCTTGAGAGTGTAAATGGGTGACCCACTTTCACAGCAAACCCTCTGCAATATGGCATCACATCTTGTCTAGATCTACTCAACTAGCTGTTCTGATGCTCTTTGCAAATGACTATTTGGATTAGATTTGACTTAAACAAAGTTTGCCTTATTATTGGTATATTATTATAATATTATTTCATACTCTTTGTGATACTATAATGATGATACATGTCATTGTATGTTTGTCCTAACCCATAGAATGTACAACACCAAGAGTGAGCCTTAAGGTAAACTATGGACTTTGGGTGATAATGATGTATCAATGAAAGCTTATCAGTTGCAACAAATGTCCCACTTATGTGGGGATATTGATAATGCAGGAGGCTGTGCATGTGTGGGGGCAAAGAGTGTATATGAGAAATCTCTGTACCTTCCTCTCAAATTTGCTGTGAATTTAAAAATGTTCTTAAAATTTGTCTTTTTAAAAAATCTCTGGGCACATGTATTAGGTTGTGACTGCTGCCATGACAAAATATCACAGTCATGGTGGTTTAAACAACAGAAATTTATTTTCTCACTACTCCGGAGGCTGGAAGTCTGAGATCAAGGTGTCACAGGATTGATTTCTTCTGAGGCCCCTCTCCTTGGTTTACAGATGGCTACCTTCTCACTGTGTCTTCTCATGATCTTTCATCTGTACTGGCATGTGTCCTAATGTCCTCTTCTTATAAAGACACTAGTCATATTGAATTAGAACCCTCTCTTATGACCTCATGTTAATTCAATTACCTCTAAAAGGCCTTTCTTCAAATACAGTCACATACATACTGAGGTACTCGGGTTAGGACATCAACATATGAATTTTAGGGAATACAACTTAGCCTATGACAGCATGTGAGAAGGCCTCGTGCTTTTATTACCATTTTATTAATAGAGAAACTGAGACAGGGATGTTGAATGGCTTGATATACAACTCACCTTAGCTGTCTCAATGGTTTATCTTCTTAACTGTAATGTCAGTATAAGAACCTCTCTCCCAATAGAACCCTTTGTTCACTCTTGTTAGGTTTAGCATACCCCACTGGGCCCTTATCACTAATCTTCCATGAAACTTGCTCTGGATTGTGAAATTAAGTGACTACATTAGTCATTTGAGAATGGAATTTATCTCCTCCACAATTTGTAACTCTGAAATTATTGTTACCCCATATAGAAGTTTTTGCTCTCTTGTACCAGGATCCAGATTCACTTTTAACTTTTATTCCTGAATCAGATCTCTTGTTCTGAAACCTTGTCTCCTTTTCTATCCTATGACCAGGCCAGCATACTAGAAAGACATTTGAAGGCCACTTCTAAGTCTTTCTCATGAGCCTAATGAAAGTTCTAATACATAAGTCCTTGATTTCTCTTCTCTAGTTCATGCCACCACCCTTCTTGCTACATAGAGCCAAAAGCATATTCAAAGAAAAAGCAACATACTCACACTCCCATCCTTAAAACATAGAGGACTGGGGAAAGGGAACTAACATCTCTGAAGCATCTACCATGTATTAGACACTGGGGCAGATGCTTTCGTAGACATCGTCTTCTTTACTCTCTACAATACCATGAGGTATGCTTTATATTACCTTTTTGTGGATGAGCCAAATAGGAGAGACTCCTAGGGACTAAATAACTTGTCCAAGTTAAGCATGAGAGTGTGGAGAGGGCAGAATTGAAAGATACACCTGGCTGTCTCCAAAACCTGTCTTCTTTCTACTGGCCCACACTGCTATGTATGAAGGGCATCCCAGAGCCATGCCTCAATCCACACCAACTACCCTAAATCCCCCAGGCCCCAAAGCGGAGATGTTCACAATCTTCATTCCCTGACTTTCACAATCCATGTATGTGTCTGAACAAAAGGTTCTATTCACTATGTGAAAAATGTCTTCTGTAAATTGATCTTTTAGTGTTTAATGAGTTTTAACATTATTCATTTGATGAGCTAAAATCTTTCTTTTGCTGGCTCGTCATAATCTGCACTGAAGGTTCTTAAATCTTAGCTGTCCCCTCTCAGAGGAAGCTGTGGGAAAGGGGCAGGATGTGAGTTTTATTCTCTGGTTGCCTCTTTTAGTGGTGCCTCTCCTTGAATGACTGTTTCCCAAAGATCCTGGATCTCTTTGGAAACCAGTTCTCCACTCCCTGAGCAGATTGTTCCCTCTTGGAGAGCTGAGTTGGGAACCCAAATACCAAGTAAAAGCCACCCCTTGTGTTTGTCACGCAAACGTTCAGCCACACCTTTTAATGGAATGAATTGGATGTAGGAGGGTGGAAAGAGATGATAAAATATCACCTGGCCACACGATGCAGGTGAAAAATGGATTTCTCAGTGGGAGTACAACCGTGGAGTCACTGAGTTGTATCCAAGATGAGAATTACCTGGAGGGAAAATTCCTAGGAGAAAATTTATCTTCAAGCTTAGTTGTTCAGGGCTAAGATATTTGTGCTTAAGTTTCATTCCTGTCATGTTATATCCCTAATCCAATTTAGCTAATAAATTCTATTGTTTTTATTGCCAATTTTACATCACATGGTAATTTTTGGAAATTTATATGCCCTGTTATTGCAGAATTGACTAATCACAGCATCATATTCCCCTTAATATGCACCAAAAAGACAATGAGCTTAAAGAAATATGAAAAAGGAAGGAGGCTAAATGCTGTCTACTGAACTAAAGGCAATTATTTGGCTTGGAATTACACAGTGATGCTCTGGAATTGCTAGACTTTGGAATGGGAGAAATAAAAGTTGTTTTTATAGTGGCAGAGGTGAGGAAGGAAATGTGGGTCAATGAATTAATGCTCAGGAAATTATATAAATCTGAAAGTTAGATTCATTTCTCTCACTATGAGCAATTTATTTAAATTTTATGAGAGGAGCGTGATTGACTGGAAATTTGTATCACTTGAATAATTACTATTTGTTTGAAACCAACCCTTCTTGTTTCTAAACTATCAGTACTAATGGTTTTGAAAGCACCCCTGGAAAGAGGTACACCCTTGTTTGTGTGTTTTGTGAAAGGGGTGACTAGATGGCTTTTGTGACTTCTGCTTTGATCAAAGTGCTCTACCCACACCCACATGGCCATCTTCAGCCCTGCAGACTGCCTTGCTCTTTCAAACCAAACTGGTGATGGACATTTCACTGAGCATTTCTGAAAGACAGTGGTGTTGTTTGCCAAGTATTTCCAGGTTCTCGCCTTAGCAGTACACAGTAGGACTGCATTCCTGGGACTCCCGTGGGTCTGGTCAATGAGTTCAGGTAGACTGATAACAGGTTGATACCCAAGAATGGCCTGGTAACAATGGGGATATCCATCTTGAATGAACTCACACAGGAGCAAGATGTGAAAGGTAAATATTTTCATTTTTATTTCTAAAATAACAACCAGATTCTTTTTTTATATACAGTGGTTTCAACACACACACACATACACACACACAATAATAATAATAATACCTAAAAGAATATTTTTCCTGTTTCACAAATGAGGAAACTAATGTCCTAAGAGCTAAATTAATTTTACTAGAGGTCTAAAATAGACTAAAATAATAAACACATTAAAATGTCCTCTTATTTGTTGTCTGTTCCCTATCTCTAGGAAACCTGTCATGACTTAACTTTTCCCAAAAGTAGATTCAATGTTTCTCCTGCCACCCCACTTCCCACTCCCACTGCAACCCTACTCCTGAAACCCATCTAAGCCCTGTCCCTCAACATGCCCAGCATACATGCAGAGTGATGGGTGCCTGAGCCCATGGAGACTCAGAGCTGGCCTGGGGAGCAAAAGCTGGTGAAGTCCAGTAGGACCTCAATAGCCCCAGGCTTTTTGAGAGTTTGGAAAACAGCTTGCAGGTTGAGTCTTCATCTCTCCAATGTTGACCAAGAGGCCAGACTCTTGAGGGTCAAGGGCAGGTCAAAGGGTTAGATCTGCTTTCTTAAAGCCTAGTCACCAAATGTTAACCTCAGCATTTCCTCAGCAAACATTACCACGCTGAGAGCTTAGGTGTTGCTGCAGGCAAGAGGAGGGGGTCTTCCAAGGAAGCAGAACTGTCTCTCCTCATTCCAGCCCTCCTACTCCTGCGGTTCAACTCTCAGTCCAGAACAGGAGAATCCACGAGAAATGGGGAAGCCTAGGCACAATGGTGGAAGCTCTGGTTAACAGAGAAAATAATGACTGGCTTTCATTGATAATATAATTTGAACCAGGCACTACTGTACAGGTTTTTAATATGTTAGCTCATTGACTTCAGAAGCCATTCTGGGGTGTGTCTACTGTTACTAGTCCCATTTTACAGGTGAGAGAATGGAGGTGCAGGGGATTATGCAATTTCCTCGAGGTCACACAGTAGGAAGGCTGTTCTCCCAGTTTTGTTGGTCTGTGTCCTAGGCCTCTCCATGCTGCTTCCTGGACCCTAAACTCAGCCCTCAGTGCTTGCTCGCCCTCCTCTGCTACCTAAGCTTGGGCTCTGGAATGACTCCACAGCTCTGAATTTACAACTTTACATAGAAAACAGTGTTGCATCTCTCTGGGTATTTGTTCAGTGTCTTATTTTTCACAGTGGAATGATGAATTCAGTAACCTTTTAGGTGAATGTCAGGTATAAGCAAATATGTGGAAGAGATTTTTGAGGAACAGTGACCCTGAAATCACACTGGGTGAAACCAGCTGTTTGGGTTTTATTAAAGGACCACCCTTCATATGAACAGCAGACCGTGCCATGGAGCAGACGGTGGCATCATAAAAATGCCTTCCACCAGCCTCCCAGGATGGGGTCCCCCAATTAGAATCTACTTCTGAAGCAAACTGCCCAGTTTTCACACCTCTGCCATCCTTTCCTGATCCAGGAACCTCTTGACAAACTTTTCGCAACCATGTATCTAAGAGCAATCCCACCTAAGGTCACTGGGATACGAGGAGCTTCCACCCACATTCAGGAGCTTCAATTCTCTGCAAGTCATTTCTGACCTCCCTCCCCCTTTCTTGTCACTGGAATTCTGCTCACCTCCTGAGACCCCCGTGAGTCTTCGATTCTGTGTTCTGAATTAAAGTCTGAAATGGGACCTTAGCCCTGTAGTTTAGCCCTGCCCTGGACTGCGACCAACCCTGCCTTGCACTTCTTACCATACACCCCATGTTGTTGAACTGTAATTCTGCCCTAAACACAGTGGATGAGCCTCGATCTCTGATCTCTGCTGTAAGATCTCCCTCAGGCTACTAGCTCCCCATTCTGGACTTGGGAGTATCACTTAGTATGAATTTCCTGCCCCGGTCCTCTAACATTTGTTCGGCCCCAATATGGTCACCATGGTGCCAGCTGTTATTCCTGAACCCTTCTGATACCACATGCGTCCAGGTGTGAAAAGCATGGCCCCTATTACTGAGAAAATTCAACAGGCCCTAGGTGTTCACAGGAGGATAATACTGAAAGAAATCATCAATCTATCCCCCAGCTCACAGGTTCAAACATAGAAGTTGAAGAATTATGTAGATTTCTTTGGGAGGAGTTGTTAGTGCATTTCTACCTCCTTCCTACACTGCCCCCTAAGACAGATCTAAGCCTTGTGTACCAACCCAGTTCTACTAAGCAGCGTAGTCCCTGATCTTGGCTTCTGTTGGTTTTCTCCAACTTGTGCTACAGCCACTAGCTGGGCATAAGACCACTACCATGCTTATCTTCTCTAGAGAAGCTAGATATACGATGCCCAGGAGGGAGAGCCTCTGGCTGAGACAATCTAATGAACTCTCTAACAGCTCATACTGGGACCTTGATGGAAAGGTCAGCTTTAATGGATCATCCGAACTACGTCTCAGTGAGTGACTAACCAGGAAATGTTATAGTGATAGTTCACCACGGAGGAACCCTATGGGCTAGAAAATGGCAGATATTGGGAGGGTTAACCTTTGTAAAGTTCCACTAAATCTTCCCTCCCCCTTTTTAAAGTTCTCATATAAAAGTTCAAATGTGAGGAGGGTTAATTAAGAATAATATGCCAGTGTTTTCCTCCGGTTTCCCAGCACCCCACACATGCCAGTCGGTGTGTGTAACAGAGCCCTCCTTACTCTCCCTCCCTCCCCCTGGGACACCAGCACATCAGGTTTGCGGGATCTGTAACGCAGGAGTCCCTTCAGGGTTCTTTAGCTCTGTAAGGTCTGCCTTTGCTTTGCCCCATTGCTGAATATATGGACCATGACTCAGAAAGGAAAAGGAATGTAAAAGAGGATGTGCCTTTTGCCAGGTGGTGCTTAAAAAATAAAATCTGAGACTCATCAATATCCAGAAAGGCCATGAGACTCTCCAAGTCAAAACCATACCAAGACTGATCACTCCTGCCCACACTCTATTACTGCTCAGGCTTCTGGCTGCCTTTTTTGTGACCTCTTCTCCCTTCACAGCTGCCTAATGTTTGTTTTCTCTTGATTTCCTCTGTGTAAAAATGTTTCAGAGGGAGGCTGTGAGTAGACAGCTAATTTGCTGCAACTCCACCCACGCCCCCTCCCCTTAGGAATGATTCTAGGCCCCAACTTCATTAGAGAGAGAGACTTGTTGCTTTGTGATTTCAATCAATTAAGAATTCCTTCTCGACAATTGGGCTATTATAAGTGTCACCACTCACTGCCAAGATGGATTAGGTGTGTGAGCTCAGTGGACAGCAAGGGTGTATCCTGTATTGGTGCAGGTGTGATGATAGCATCCTCTCACTGAGGACAGAAAAAAAATGTGCTTAAGTGTGAGTTGGTCCTGTAAACTGAGATGACGTAGGTTTTAAAGAAGATGTGCATATTTTCATTTATGTGCTGGGCAATCAAGAAGTTTCTGTTCTCTGAAAGGTATGTCCACCTGTTCCCTTCATGCTCACAAGTGGTCACAACTTACAAGTGAAGCTTCTTCTTGAGTTTTTAGTACTCACATCTCATCCTCAACGATTCATTAAGTTAGATCCATTGTTTGGGCTTAACGATGCATTCTAAATGGGAACAAAAATAACAGTGATGTCAATGAGTAATTGCATTGACAAAAATGCACATATATTTATATTTATGTATATGCCTGCCTAGAGAGAAATATGTAAAAAATGAAGACACAAAGAGAAGGACCTGCATTAACACAGCTACACAGAATTAAATGATCATATTTCACTGAATCTAACATTGGAAGCTACATCATTATTTTTATGTTCCAGCAAGAAAGAAAAAGGAAAAAAACCTTGCGAATTAGATCATCCCATGTCATTGGTGGTCAGATACATTCTAATTTCAGAAATGTTGAACGGTGAAGGAAATACCTATCATAGAGTTGGTGAACTACGTTAAAAGTCACACTCAATACTAGCTAACCATTAATGCTGATTCGTAATGTGTCCAGAAGGTATTTTATTTGTTTGCTTTTAAGGAAGTAGTTCTTATTGAGAGACTATTAGTTGAGTATATGACTTCTTTCTAATTAATATAGCAATGGGAGCAATTTTAGTTGATATCTTGAGACAGATAGCTTGGACAAAAGACATCTTCAAGATCTATAAGTAACAAACACTTCAATCTGTGGAGTATAGTTTACTGGAAGAGTCCTAAGCAAGCAGAATATTAATTCCCATGGTTAGCAGTGTGGCTTTGGGCAAATCTCAAGTGCGCTGAGCCTGGTTTCCTTACCTGTGAAATGAGTAAGCCAGACTAGAATCTCATTTATAACTTATCTCTCATTTCGCCCACTAGCGTTTTATGAATCTATGATCCTGGGTCCATGCTGTCCCTTCTCCGTGGTCCATAGGTCAGGTTGAAATACATCCAATGTGGAAAATTCTCCTGAGAGGTATATTCTGCTCACCTTAAGTTTTAGCAGGATGTTCTGATATTTGTTGAATGAAGAAATGAATGAATGAAGGTATGTCCTAATGATTCTCTTTGCTGACAAATCATGAATACTGAGCTTTAATATTTGCCTCTGCATGACTCTGCTGAGGACACTGACCCTCTAGTAGTGAGACCAAAAGGGAGAGGCTTACCTCTGCTACTCTTGATGGCCCCTTTAATGAAGACATCTTCATCCTCAAAGCATCTCTTATCTAAAGAAATAATGACAGTGAAGAAATGACAACATCCCCAATGCCCAGACCCGTGTCCTAAAACTTTGAGACTAGGCACACCAGCAGAAGCAGCATCACATGGCTTATCACAGTGCTTAGCAAATAATAATGCTTAGATATATGTTGAGGTGTCATAATGAGATTTACAATTAAGATTAAAATTGTGGTTATGGTTTTCATTCTTTTCACCAACTATACTCACAGCCTCCTGTTGACTTGATGAAGTGCAGGAAATGAGCGAATAGAGTTCTTTCCTTTCCCCCTAGCAGTTGATGCCCTGAGCCAACCCCACAAACTCAACTCCCCTGGACCATGCTCTCTAATCAAACCTGCTTCTTCCTCCTGCTTTCCTCAGCCACATGGAAATCATTTACCAGTGAAACAAATTCAAATTACCTTGTGATCCATAATGGTTCCAAACAGCAAGATGAAGAACCCCTGTGGCAAAATTCAACAGAAGTATGAGGGACAGTTTCGCAGGCAATATCCCAGCTGTTACATTAATGCCACTCTTTAGATACCTTCTAGAACCCTTATCAGACATTAAAAACTTCACTTTCTACTGATTCAGGTAAAAATGCATTGGTGTGTATTTTCTTGAGTGTGCCTCAGAGAAAGAAGATCACCTTCAATCTGTGCATGACAATTATTTATTTTTATTAAATGGCTGCAGATGGAGGATAGCATTTTCAACCTCATTAAATCTGTTTATTTTCTTCCCAAGCATTGAGGTAGCTATTCTTACTCTTGATGACAATGAGACATGGCATGGGATCTTGTTACTCAAAGTCACAATCATGGAAGGTATCCTGAGAAAATGAAACTATTCTAGGCTACTTCCACGCCAGATTCTCTAAGCTGGTGGAAGAAGTTTCTGGATAAAAGAGAAACTACAGAAACTGATAAGGTCAGAGTCTCCTGAAGTTTTATATTTGGTCACCTATAAAGTCACAATAATTGGAAAGCAATCTTTTAAATGCTGGGAGTTGAAGTCCAAAAAAACCCTGGATCCTGCCATGAGAGTGGAGGGAAGCCTGGGTTTCTACAGATAGGTTCATGGTAAAGAAACACTGATCGGAAGATTACACACAGACAAAAAAAAGAAAACTGAAATTTCAAAATGTGAGTCACGAGTGTTTTAGTATTTTCCTTTCTATCAAGAAAGGAGAAAAATAAATGATCTAAACAAAACCACAAAACTTTCTGAGGTTTAATTAAGTTGCAAAATAAAAATAGGGTGAGGAGTCCTGGCCAGTTTGGCTCAGTGACTGGAGCGTCGGCCTGCAGACAGAAGGGTCACTGGTTGGATTCACAGTTGGGAGCGTGTACCCCAGTGGCAAGCTCCATCCTCTGCCCTGGGTCAGGGTGTGTGCTGGAGGCAACCAGTCAATGTGTCTCTCTCACATGGATGTTTCTCTCTCTCTCACCCCCTTCTCCCTCCTCTGTCACCCCCTTTTCCCTCCCCTCCACTCTCTCTAGAAAAAATCAATGGAAAAAATATATCATCACGTGAGGATTGAAAAAAAGTGGGGGAAGCTGAGGTCATTAGTGACCAGAGTCACTGGTGGAAATCTTTCTTCTCTCCTCAAGAGCTTGGGAGATTTATGTGAGTCCAAGAGCTTTTGATTTAAAAACAGAACAAAAGAAACTGAAGTCAAATGTTTCTCTTTAAAGCAATGCAAGGGAAAGAGAGAAACATTCTCTATAGTTACTAAAGCATTATGAGTAAGATATATAATTCATCTGAGTTGGCATTTCTTTAAAGGTTGCTTTATATTCTGTACCACATTTTTAAACTGAGTGGTAATGATGTGTTAATAGGAATATTTGCTGCTTTATTATGCACCTATCTATTTAAATACTATTCAAAACTTTTTCTTTTTGCTTCAAAGAAGCAGATAATAAATATTTTAGGCTTTGGCAGGCTACACCATCTCTGTTATAACTACCTCAGCTTTGCCGCTGTAGCTCACAAATAGCCATAGGCAAAATGTAAATGAATGACTATGGCTGCATTTCAATAAAACTATTTACAAAAACAGGCAGCAGGCCATAGTTTGCCAAACCCTGATTAAAAACATAATTAAGAATATGAACTTGCCAAATTTTCTGTTACCCATAGGTATGGAAAGCAGTCGGGCTAATGACGTTTTCCCAAATGTGCAAGCTCAGTAGGCAAGGTGGATTAAAACATCTCTTAGAGGGATCAGTGTGCCAATCAAGTATGTTAAGGGGAAAAAAATGACAATAGAGATCACATTAGATGCATCTTTTTATCTTACAGATAAGAACGTTGAGGCCCAGAGAGAAATGACTTTCCTAGGATCAGGTAACAAGTGGCAATATTTATTTCTATGAATATCAACCTACAATTACATCACAGGGGACAGAGGCACTATAACTCCTGACTGGTTATAGAGAATGGCACACCGTGGAAAATGACTCCTTTCACTGAGTTCTCACACTACTTGAGAAAAGGTAAAAATTGTGTTTGTTTTGAGGCATGACACATAAGTGTAGCTCACACATCCCTGATCTAAGACTAGTCCTCTATAAGTGGAGGTCAACTTCTCCTGCCGTTGAAATTTAGAAGGCACGTAGATGGATCAGTGAGGAGAGAAGGAGGGAACTTTTCACCCAACCAGCCTGATCTGTGCAAGGCAACTTGATAATCAATAGGGCAAGAGATGCCACATCTAAATGCCTCTAAGACATGGAGGGAAATAGAAATATTTTGTGTTCTAGATTTTAAAATCATAGCCATTTTTGTTGGAAAACTAGAATAACAAAATATAAAATAATAATATTTTATAAGTGAAATATTAATTAACACCATCAGTTAATAAAATAAGTCTCCTTCTTGGAACTTACCTGGAAAGCATTGAGTAGGGCAAAGATTATGTGGAATATCAAGGAGGTGCCTTTGATGAGGGTGGCTATTCCAAAACCCCAGGTCAGTCCCAGCAGTGGGGTGAGGATGGCAACATTTTTACTGATCCTCCTGATTATGGCCACGTCTTGCGACTTGGAACTGCCAATAAAGGGCCTCTGAGTGTTGACTGCAACAACCAAAACCACAAGAAGATTCACAGCCACAATGACCAAGGCTGGGATGGCGAATGCTAAAAGGGCTTTGGTGTTGTCCCAGTTGAGCCAGCAGGCATCGCCTCTCATGTAGCCTTTCTCTGGCACTGTGATAGCAACTGTGGTGACAGCGATGATCAACGGGAACCCATAGCCAATGGCAAAGCCAATGGCCATCATGCGGGACTTCATCATCCTGTGAAACACGACCAGTATTCCATAGATGATCAGCAGTGCTTTGAAGAGCATCCAGAAAAACAGAGAGAGGTAGAAAAAATGGCGAAAAAATGTCATTGCGACGCACCACTTGTAGTTCTGGGCCTTTTTGCTAACGTTGGGGGATACGATGAACCACACGTTAGCAGTCAGGAGGGACACGGCTATGTTCACGATGCACACATGACGCATGTATGATATCTCTGTCACGACAACCCGGGACCACACCATAGCTTCAATGAGCAGGCAAAGAACCAAGCTAAGGATGGAGACGCTGAGCCCAATGCAAGTGATGTAGTCCAGGATTTTGTCATCCATAGATATGGGGGACATTAGGATGGAAAAGGACATCACTGCATTGGTATAGTTACACCGGCATTTCACTCTGTCCCTGGTGTCTGTCATCGTATGACACGCATCCTCATCCCATCTCCTTCTCTGGGAGTGCCAGCCAACACACTGAGCCCTGGCACTCCGAGATTTATTGATCTTGTCAAACGTGAGTAAGACTTGCTTGAATCTTTCTGGTAAAATCACTGAAAGAACCAGATCGTTCACCGTGAGCCTGGGAAGACTCTCATTCTCCAAGTGGGTTTCTTTCAGCACAGCCCCCAAGGTGGGAAACGCTATGCTGATGGCTTGGAAAGCGTTTGGTGCCAGCTTCCACAGCTCACCCTGGGGGATTTCTACCACTGCTGTGACGCCCGCCGCTGAGTCACTGGTGTTCCCCGCCAACCTGACGCTTTTCCCTGAGGCCCTGCGGCTGATGCGAAGCCCTTTGGTCTGAATGAAGGGCTCGTCCACAATGTTCTCAGATTCGTTGCGGAGGTGGAGCTGCCGAGCGAACAAGTTCACTGACCGCAGCAGGTCCGAGCTGGCGTTCTGGTCGGGAATGAAAGCCCAGTTGGAAATGGCTGCTGTGTCGAGGATGTGGTTGGCCATCTCGCTGTAGCTCTGCAATGGACGAAAAGTGGATATTACACTAAGGATTTTCTGTTACAAAGTCGATTTCTAAAGGCTGAAATTTCTGCATCAAATGATCTGATCTTATTTACACATTTCTCTTGAAATTTCCTGTTTATTGAATCTCATGCTGGTAAGCCTGCTGGGAAGGGAAGTAAAGGGATGCTAAAAATAATAATAAAATAAAATAAAATAATAAAATAAAGTAAAATAAAAAAATAAAAAGATGTATTGCAGATAAAGTTTATTTGCTTTTTTTATGTTCCCAGGGAAGCATTTCCAAACTACAGTCTGTAGAACCCAAGTTTCCCATGAGACATTCATGATTGTTTAAGGAAGGGCCTTGGAGGTAGACTCTATAATAACTTATGTTTGAGAAATACCATATCCCTATATCCCCCAGTCTTATAAAGAGTCCCCAAGTTTATCAACACATTAAAAGGTCTGAAAAGTGTGCCAGAAGGAAACCTGCTTAACTTTAACTCAGTCCCTACACCTGCTGTGCTATGGGTCTCCCTATTAAAAATGGACGCTCTGCTAACATTTCTCAGAACAATTATATTTTTCAGAAGAAAACTTTGGAAACACCATAGCAGACATGATCTTGCTCACAGCCATCACTACATAATATTTTTCTGAAAATATTAATTCTATACAAAAATACGCAAAACATGTTCTAACTCCTTGGCAACTTCCATAAACCCAAATGAATCAATGCAAAAAACTGAAGTGAAATCCCTGTTACTGCGGTCACTTTTGCTGTGAGGGTTATAGCTTTCACCCTGAAAAGAATATTTGAAACTGTGAAAGCGCAAAATTTGGGGGGAAAATAATGGTCGGTTTTTCACACAGATTGCCTACCTTCATTTTCTCTCCAGTGACATTATCAGACAAGTCCGCAGAAATATTTTTTAATAACTCCACGATAAATGCGATGTTCCCCGACGTGGCTTCCGAGGACTTCACAGCGCCGGTTATGCAGGCGAAGTCCTGCGGGCAGTTCCTGCGGAGTCCTTGCACCACACTCTGCACCAGCTCCGGGGCCCGAAAGTCCAGGATGGGCTGCGCTATGGAGGGCGCTGCGACCGACAGGAGTGACACACTACTTAGGTCCTGTGTGGTTTTTTTTAAAAAAAACGTTGTTTTATTCAAAATGAATAAGCACCTCATATGTAACAAACTAAATCAGTTAAAGGCATAAATGATCCACATGGAGGAAACAGACGGAGCAAGTGGTCCTAAAAAGTGGTTTAGATGCTGAGACGTGCAGAGAAGGTATGGAGGGTCACACACAGGCAGGAGATTATAACGAAATGCCCCCAGAGATCCGGAGCCTCACTTTTCCTATTAGAATTTGCTTTCAGGACCGTGACTTCAACTCAAGTATTATAACTAGACACTTTTGTTTTTTTTCCAGAGAAATTTTAGAAACAAAATTTGCCCAATCATTATTATTTTAAGAGGAGCCACATGGAATTTCGGGGTGGTGGTGGTGGTAGTGGTGGAGATTGGCCGGTCAAACACGAAACACAAAGGAATTGTAATTTCAAAACNTTTTTTTTCCAGAGAAATTTTAGAAACAAAATTTGCCCAATCATTATTATTTTAAGAGGAGCCACATGGAATTTCGGGGTGGTGGTGGTGGTGGTGGTGGAGATTGGCCGGTCAAACACGAAACACAAAGGAATTGCAATTTCAAAAAGCTGAGTTCACTAATTAGAAGAAATTATTTGCTCGTTTCCTCATACTTTTACCCAGAGTCTCCCAGGATGGGACTTTGGATAAGTCAAAGCACTTATTTACTTCATTTAATTCACTATCGCTAGTGTTATAAGAATCTCTACCTATGCTGAGCGGCGGAGCCTCCATGGCAGTCCCCTTACAAACTCACTGTTAAGTTTTAGGAAACGCAGAGATCCATGTGCTTCTACAGGAGTGGAGAGAAGGTAGGTGGACATGGCCCTTAAGTGAAAGAACGTAAGATAGAATATTTTCATTTTAACTCAAATTTCTTGTATTCATTGGATTGCTGTTCCCTTTGGGTCACACATTTCCCCCTTCTTCGGGTCAAGTAATTGAAAGTATTAGAAACAATTCAAAATTAATTTGTTTCTAGACACATTTAGTTGATTAATTGGTTAGCACAGGAAGCATGCAAATCCCTCTTTAGAGCTAAAACTAACCTCCAATCATTTGCCATTATGTAAATGAGTTTCATATCTGTTTTTAAGAAGATTCTGAAAGGGAGGAGAGAGTGGGGAGAGAGGAGAGAACTTGGGTTTGTACAAAGAAGGAAAAAGAGACAAATTTCAACCATTCTGGAGATTTTCCTAAGTGTAGACCTGAGACACTGTCATGCTCAACAGAACGCATTAAAAATGCCTCTGTCACCTCCTGAGGGATTGGTTCAGGGAGCTAATAATATGCAAATGCATCACCTTAAAGAGCATTTCCACAGAAAGGCTTGTACATGTTTCAGTTGATTTTTGCCACTTGTTTTGATTACATGTAAATCCTATTTCTCCACGGAAGGGCTGAGCACAGGGCTGGCTGCAGTTGGATGAAGCGATGCAAGGCCCATGGCATTTCTCTGAAGAGAAAAAGAGAGAAAGAAGTCTAATTAGCAGTTCCACTCTTCGATGGGACATCACTCATACTGGGGATTTTAAGTTGCTTCCAAAGGAGGTGATATTGACCTTGTGTCCTCAGCTACAAGAAAGACCTGCCAGGCAGATTGTGAAGCTGATGTCTAAGCACTGCGTGGAAAGGAGGGATCACAGGTGATTCAGAAAGGCTAGTTCGGAGCCTCTGAAGGGAAAGTGGCAAGAGATGAGGGGGGGAAGAGAGCAGTGGTCAAGTCCCAAGGACCTTGAATGCTGTGCCAATATGGGAGTTACCAGAACACAAGATTACATTTGTTTTTTGAAAAATAATTAACAGCATAGAGCAGGAGTCTGCAAACTTTTCTGTAAGGACAGAATAAATGTCAAATAAAAATAGAAAGCTCAGTTAAATGTTAATTTCATTTTCAGATACAGTTGATTCTCATTATTTGCAGTAGTTATTTTCTATGAAGTCACCACCACAAACACTGAATCAGCAAATACTGAACCATTGCTGCTAGGGGAAATACAAGGTTAGGTTTCTGGGAGTTTCTGCTCTCAACATTTTCATCAGCAGATCACTATCAATATATGTTTTATGTGTGTTTCTATTTAAAGTAACCTTATACAATATATAGTGGATTTATTGACATTGAACTTACGGCCAGTAGTACTATAACTCATAGCAGCATATAAACAAAGTTTATCTAACACAGATATTTTCCCCATAAAGTATATCACAGCTCTGTTAGGAACACTAGACAGCACTTCAGCTCTGTACTTGGTGGCCACATTTAACAGCAAGATCACCAACAAAAAAACAAAACACGTGGCACTGCATAGGCCACAAAAAGAACCCTTGTGGATAGTAAGAGAGCACCACCTAGTCCACCCTCAGCTGGGCACATGCACCCTGGCTGATCCAATTTTTTTGCTGTTCTGTGAATGTCTGTGAATGATCTAGAAAGCACTGTGAGTGTTGATTTGGAGATTACAAATGCTTTTCAAAGAGTGGGAGAATTTGCATATACAGAATCCACAAATAATGAGAATCGACTGAAGGTGTTCAGATAAACAATGAATAATGTTTTAGGGTATGTATGACCATGCATTATTATTCATTTTCAGAAATTTTAATTTAACTAGGCATCCTATATTTTTATTTGCTAAATGTGACTACTAGCCAGAGAGTAAATATTTTCAACACTGTGGGCCATACAGTCTCTGTGGCAACTACTCAACCCTACCTTTGTAGCATAAATACGTAAATGAATGGGCATGGGTGGGTGCCAATAAAACTTTATTTACAAAAACTGGTGTCAGGCCTATTTTGGCCCATGGGTAGAGTGAATGACTTTCTGCAGGGAGCCCAGGAATGAAGCTGTTGAGATATTTCCAGGGAGAATTGGCCCAAGAGAGGGGCAGAGGGATGGAAAGAAGTAAATGATGCTAAGAGCTATTGTGGTGTTGACATCAATATGATATGGTGACCATTTGGCTGTGAGATAAGGAATGAGATAAGGAATTTACAGCTTGGCTGATTCTGTGGATGACTCCATTCACAGAGAAAGGAAACACGTGGTTTTCATCTTTGTTTGCCATTTACCCAGTGTTTCAATTTGGCAAGTTGTTTAAGCTGAGTGCTTCTCGATTTCTTCCTCTATAAAATTTGGACGTGGTACAGTGGTGTTGCTACAAACATTGAATGAGACAGCATCTTGCTCAGCACTTCTACCATACTTCAATAAAGTATCTCCCATTCTCTCCTCTTTCCTTTCTCAGTTCCATATCTGAGTAGGGATTCATCTGCCTCCAAAAATATACTTGGTCATGACTGTGCAGAATCCAGTTATTCCCACTATTTGGGTGAGAATCATATGATTTCACTATTTTACGACTAATAATTACTTCCATAGCTTGTCTCTCGATTCTTAAGAGTGACCAGTCTCACCAATACAATACCTATCTGACATCACTTCAACATACCCCTCAGCACCAAAATGTTATATACATTTAAGCAACACAAAAATACCTTTGAATGAAAGAATGAATTAATTCTTTCCTCTTTCCAGTTCTCCCTCTTGTTAGCTCGTTAGTTCAAACAGATTTCCCATGCGGGTTTTAGAGTAAACAGTTATCTGCTATTCTAGAACCCATGAATATTTGCCAACTTGCTTCATTGACTATGCCATGGATAATGGTATAATTGTAAGAAAATCTGTCAACACTGGTAAACATAGAGAACTTATTAGAGATTTTTATTTTATTGGAACACTTGGTGGTGTGGGGACATGTTTGCCATGTCTCCAAATGAAGAATACTGTTCTATAGCTACATACCTTGTGTCCTTTCAGTCTTGGGCTTCTCTTCAGGATGTTGAAGTTTATCTCCATCCTGTAAAACATAAATTCCCAAAGGTCCTCTTTACTGTGGAACTCTCCTCTCTCATCTCAACTTAGAGGCTCCATGTGGATGTGAAGAGAAAATGTGTTCAGGACTGGGAAGGAAAATGCAGCCGGTTCATGTGCTGATAACGCAGGAACTTGCTGAAGGAAACATGGGTGTGAGCACAGACGGAGAACACGCTGTCCTCCAAGGAGGGCTAGAACCTTGACAGGGGTCGCTGGGCTCTGAAGGTCAGGTTAGTGGATCGCGTACATCTTTTGGAAAGTTTAAGTATTCAGGGAGAACGCAGAGATGACAATTATAGCACTAAACTGTTCTCTGCCTATCTTAACTGTAACTGTGAAATGCATCCAATATACTCCACCAGATACTATATATTCTTAGAAAAGAAGTGAACTAATACTAGAAATAAGTATTAGGTTGTAATAACAGAATCAAGCATTCTTTTATAGCCATAAAGGACTATAAAGATTATCTAAAAGAAAAGAAAAAAAACACCCTTCATGTTATAAAGAAATTAAAACTCAGAGAAGTGACAATGCTATACCATATAGCCTAGGTGTGTAGTAGACTGACTATACCATCTAGGTTTGTATAAATATACTGTATGGTGTTCAAACAATGACATAAATCACCTAATGATGCATTTCTCAGAACATATCCCCATCATTAAGAGACTCATGATTATACTTCCTTCTCTCAACAGCTGCCTCTCTACAGTCTCTGTGGTTTGCAAAGTGATTTTTCTACTATGTTGTTGCACCCTGTTGCACCTTGCAACTCTACTGTTGCAAGTCCCAGCCACCTCTTAACTTTTCTTTGTTCCTGTCTTTAAAAAACTACTGTCAGCAAAAGTACAATGGCAGTCATTTGAAAATTTCTATAACATGACATGTTATTTATCATAAATCTAGCCATCTAGAACTGTCAGTTTTCTCACGGGGCTACATACGAATGGCTCAAACTTACTTTTATGTGGATCTTGGATCTCTAGTGAGAACATTCCACTTACTTTTATGTGGATCTTGGGCATAAAATGAAAACATTCTGTGGCCAGAAATAACATTAAACAGCAAATCATGGTTGGCTGGGACTTCATTTTCACACATTAGGATCTTTACCTGCAATAGAAAATGAAGGTAGAGCCAGCTGAAGGTGATGCCACACAGCTAGCACAATACTTAACAGACTAACCAATCACTTAGTAACTCCACCGGGTACTCTGGGATATTTATACTAAACAACCTACCCCAGGAATGGACACCAATATTTTTATTTAAGCCAACTAAAATGTAAAGAAGCAGACTATTAACTACTGACCTGTCTACTAACAGTAGTTAAGAATGATGGACGTACCAGGAAAAATGAATGTTCACCAAAGCATCATTTCTTATTTAATCCACAAGTTTCTTTAACAGTAATATTTATCAAGAACTTCTATTTGCCAATCTCTATTCTAAGCACTTTCGTTTCATTTAATCATGTGATACAAGATACTATTACTGTCTTCATTGTATCAATGGAGAAACTAAGGCACAACTTGAGCAACTATGAGCCAAGAGTTCAACCCAGATGGCTCGGATGGAGAGGAATTCTTAATCTCTATAGCAGGGTCTCTCACTAATGACACTGTTGACATTCGGGCCTGGATAATTCTTTGTTGTTGGGGGATGTCCTGTGAATTATAAGATGTTTAACAACATCCTTAACATCTACTTACTAGTTGCCAGGAGCACTCCCCTCTCTAGTTGTGACAGCCAAAAATGTCTCCAGACATTGCCAACTGTGCCCTGCGGGAAAATGGTCCCCAGGCGAAAACCACTATCCTACAGTATACTGTCCCTCTAGGCATATGAAGTCAAGCAACTTAAAATGAAATGAATATATACTATTGTCTGTTACCAGTCAAGCACTAAGACTCCCTCTTATTAGATGAATAAACTACTGTACAGAAAAACTAGCGGCACTGGAAGATAACTCTCTATTCTTTTGCCACATCTATGTTTCTTGCCTTTTTCTTGATGATTCCACCTTTCAAAGCCAAATCTCCAATTAAGTATCTTTACAATAGTTAAATTCGTCAACATCATCCTGATCATCACACATTTTTTTTTAGGATAATGTCAATTAAGACCTCTTTTGGGAAGAAAGTTCCTTAGAATAATTTTCCTGGTAGTGCAGATGCAGCAAAAAGAAAATATGAATTTTAGAATCAGCAAGAGCTAAGTTGTAATCTTCTCTCTGCTACTGATGAACTGTTTGACCCTTCCTGAGCCTATTTTCTCATCAATTTCATAAAATGTAGGCTGATCATTCATTTTACCAACCAACATTTATCAAGTGCCTTGTATTTGCCAGGAATCGTATCATGTGCTGGGGCTACAGAAAGACAAGCTGCTGTCCTTTCTGTGAAGAGTGTCCAATGGAAAACACAGAAAAGTAAAACCAATAGTGGGAAGAGAGATTATCTACATATTGTACCTAGCGAACAAGGCCTGGCAGATACCTAGCCTTCAGCAAACAAAAATCCCCTCATGGTCAAATGGACATGAATTTACTTTGATCTCTCTAGGCTCACAAGGCAATCTGTGGCCAGGCAACAGACAAAACTCACTGACCTAGAGTCAAACTTTTCCTGGGTGGAGCCAAGGCTGAGATGAGTTTTCATGACTCCAGTGAGCCTTCAGCTGAGATGACGAGATGCAGACACTTAAAGGGAGGTTTCCAAATTGTCTTTGAGTTTAAAGTTGTCTTTGAGTTCCTAACCATTGAACAGGGGAAAGTATTTTGATTTACACACTGTCTTGTAGAGCAAGTCTGAACAGAGGAAAGTGAACATGGCAGAATGACCGGCAAAGTGTGGTAATAGATTTGCATAGGTGTTGGGATATGAGTGCAGAATTCTTGATCTTATAGTGTGGGTGGAAAGACGTTCTCATGTATGCAGCAAATTAATGGATGGGCACACTAAGTAATTTGCAATGTAAATATTGTTTAGATAAATTTTTAACTGATGATCACAAAAAGAAGTACCAGAAGAACCAGTATAAGTTGTCTTAAATGTATTCATGTGTTTCACCTATATACCTGTGGGTTGCAAAAAATTTTTATTATGACACAGTAAGAAACAGATCTTATATTGTGACTCAGTGTGTTCAGAAAAATATATGTATGTATATAGGTAACCATATATAAATTGAAAAATATGTAATTTCTATATTTTAGCAACTATTTTTGTAAAAGTACTTATTCTTCCTACTTACAAGCAACCATGGGCACTCAATGTCCATGATTTTTATCTAGTATTCCACTCTGTTCTATCTGACAGTCTCTCAAAAACTGGTTGTCACCCACTAAATTGAATTCATAAAACTGCATTAATTCACAATCCTCTAATGGATTGTAACCTGCAATGTGAAAGACTTAATATAGACTGTAAGATTTATTTCATTGTCCAGTTGAAAATGGTTCACTTTTCCCACTAAAGTGGTCATTTCGATCCTTTCTTTTTGCTGTTCTTTACATTTCTGTTGAAATTTCCTTGTCCAGATACATGTATCAGGGAGAAAAGTTACCTATGTTCAGGAGCAAATAATAAGACTGAGGGTGAAGATAAATGCAATTCTCTTCACCTGCAGAAGATGGCTTGAAATGCACAGTTAAATGGAGGAAGGCCAGCCAAAGACAGGGATATATAAGTAATAATGCCTGCAACCTAAGGCTTCATACAAGGGCCATTTTTAATCTCTCAGTTTTCAATAAAGAACTTTGCATAAACTAATCCTGCTAGAAGAAAATCAGGCATTTGTCTTTTAGGATGGGATGGGATGCGGTGTGAAGTATGGAGTAAGAAATGTTTCCCCAACCAGTGCTAGGGCCTCTAAGTGCACAGGTCCTGAAAGGGTTCAAGTAAAGGGGCCAATAGTCATGGCATTTTTTGTAGATCATTATTCTCTTTGTGGAACATTATGAAATAATAATGCATTTCCTGTATTCACATAAACTAAAAAAATGTACTAGCAGATAACATGCGATATAAATCATAAACAAGACCATAAGAAACACAAACTTTGAATTGAGCCCAGTTGGCTATTTGGAGAGTTTCAGTTAATTGATTTGCTACTTGATCATTCATGTCATTACAGTCTGCTGTATGTGACCCATATACCATTTGGTATGATAATTATATGGTAAATTTTCTTCAGTTATTATAAACGTGTGTGGGAGGGGTGCAGAATGTTTCTGGTGTTACCCAAGAGGAGTTATAACATTCTTATTGTTGCCCAGTGTAATTGGCAAGCAGGGGCCAGATGGATAGATGTTTTCAAGCGAGCCCCAATCGGGTTGTCTCTCTTCCTACCAGAAAGAGTTGAACGGGAGCCCTCCCGACAGAATCAGATACTGGCTGAGGCCCAAAGCCAGCTGCTCTGCACAGCAGGCGACAAGCAGGGCTTTAATCTGTGAACCGAGTCAGAGCTACTCTGAAAGATGATGCTCAGGGTGGGGAGGTGAGGGGAGGCAGGCACCAGTGGCATGGTGATCAGAAGTCTGGAATGATCACCAGGGAAGGGAGGACAGACACAGAAACGGAGAATAAAAATGAGGAAGAGAAAGCACGATGCAGAAGAGCTCCTGCCTGAGACTCTGCGGTGTTTTGTGTGTAATGAGTTACCCGGCCTTTACAAAGAAGCTCCCCCAGCCTCTTAGTCACCGGGGAAAGGCAGCTCCGCATCCTGTTCCCAAAGTGTCTAAAAGAGGGCCTTTCAGAGATAAAAGCCACAAGCAACCTGGAATGACGCTTCTCAGGGCCTATAAAAGTAATGTCCCAAATCCCTCCTCCCCCTTCCACAACCCGCCTCGCTGCGGGTCCTTGTGAGGGTGAGATTGCCCACTACCACCCATCTCTCTTTCCCACGAGAGAGTAAAAAGCATCCTAGGCTGCTGGACGGAAGCCAGGCTCCTGGCTCCAGCAGACAGAGAAGAGCACTCACTAGCCTCAGAGGCCCGAAGGGAAATAGAACTAGATACAGTAGTTCCAGAAGAAACGTGTGTCAGGACCTGCCTCCCGGGGAATGCACAGCAACGGGCGCCGCCCACACCGCTGCTCCGACTCTAAGCCATAATGACAAGAGGACAACAGAGCACAAGACTTAGTGCTTTAGTCCCGAGACCAAGGGAAATTGGGCTGCACCTAGTGGACTAGGCAAAACACAAACAAACAAACAAACAAAACAGGTGACCATTAGTCAGGATGCTAACGCAGAGGGAAGTCTTTCTATCCCCAGAGCCCAGCGGAGCATTAGGTACCTAAGAGACACATTTGTGGATAAATGGAAGAATGAATGAATGACCCCTGCAGGGAATGATGCCAGCTTCTAAAGGTTTTGTTTTTAAAGCATAAGGCAGCTACTTTTCTATCTCAAAGGGGCAGGTGAGCATATCTGCAACTCTAGATCATTTTGGAATGTGGTAATTTAAGCAGAAATGCTCCCAGCCTACTATGGACCTCCGCTTTGTTGGACCTGGAGCCTTATACTAAAAAGGATTGTGAGGTCCCACCTAGGTAGGTTCAGTAAGAAACAACCTCACGCCTGATGAGTGAAGTGCCAGAAGCACGGCAGTGCAAGCATCTCTTATTTGTCCCACCTTCCTTGTGCTTAGAGCTGAGCTTCTGAGTGAGTTGGAATTCAAAAATACAATTAGTCCGCTTGGGTCCTGGAGCTCATTTCTGATGGAGTTGACGGGGGTGACTCATGCAGCCTGAGGCACGCCCACCTGTCTGAACTCGATGAGTGAGAGCTGGCATCAGGACTGTCAAAGAAAATAATAAAAGGCAGAGCTTGGGAACTGTAACTGCAGCCGGGGAGGAAGGAGTGCCTCCAAAGGTGCAATCTCTCAAAAGTCTTCATGCAAAACAGCACCCTAAGGCGAGCTGGACGGGAATTCCTATAAACCAAGTGGCCACTTTCCAAAATGTGTTTCCATGGAATTTCAGCCCAAGGTGACAGGAAGGCATCTTCTAAGTCATTTGCTAACCTTCTAGGCGACAACTCACCTCCTACTTGTTGGCCAGTCCCCTTAATGGGAAGGACCAGTCTA